CTTAAGTATATAAATGAAATATATAAATATATAAATGAAATATTAAATGAAATATATTATTATAATATATTAAACGAAATATATAAATGAAAACATTAAATGTTTTATCTATTAATTCCTATAAAATTTTACAGCTGTATAATGGTTTTTATTTCGCTTCAACTTTTGGCATGTTATAATAAAATTGTATGTATGTGTGCTTAAAAAAAAAATGGCAAAAATCTGCAACCGATGAAACTGTTTTATTTGTTAAATGTGTGCAATGTTTTTAGTGAAAACAACTTGATTATCTTCCCTTTGAAGAATTACTAATTGATCGATATATAAATATTAGACAAAATAAATATTAAACGAAATAAATACTAGACAAAATAAATATTGAACCAAATAAATATTAGACAAAATAAATGTTAAACAAAATAAATACTAGACAAAACAAATATTGAACCAAATAAATATCAGACAAAATAAATGTTAAACAAAATAAATACTAGACAAAATAAATATGAAACAAATTAAACATGAAAGAAAGAAATATCTAACAAACTAAATTCCAATTTTCGAGTTCGAAATAAAAATCAAAAACTCGACTTCGTCGCGAAACTAAAATAAAAACGCTGCTGATGAACGCATGCTCGTTCATAGTATAGGAGAATGAAACATTTTCTGAATCTGTCATAAATGCGTACACATCGTGCAGAATATAAAAGCAGAAAATCCACGGAACAACAACAAAGCCAAATACCATCGAATGCGTGCACAATAGCACTCGAAGCAACCTCATTTCGCATCCGAACACATCAATGCCGCACGTACACACCGAAATCGAGGCGAACAATGTCTTCTTCACTCAAGGTCACCACGCAATTACATTCGAACGAATCGCGGACAGAAATGTGTAATTTGCCGGCTCGCGATCCAGCGGCCGAACGCGTGCCCCATGCAAATACCGCAGAACAACGCCACGTATCTCCCATTGAAATTCCACGGCTGGTTCCGAACGCGATCACAGGTGCAGCGAAACGACCACGCGCATTACGAACTGGCCCCGGACAATCGTTTCTGGTCCCATTCGAGAGAGAACCGCCCACGATCGACGGTCCCTCGGCGATCGATTCTCTCGGAGAGCGGGGTCCCGGTCTGTTCACGGGGTCTCACGGGGTTTCCGGAATCGTTGCACGCCGGTCACACATCGGTCGAGGCTCGCCTTTTGTCCGGGACACGTGCGGTGCCGATCGTTCGAGCCGTTCGCCAGAAACTGAAGTCACCGGGGCTCACTTTCGCTTCGATCCGTTTATCTTCGGCCGCCTTCTAGCGCCGAGCAGATATAAACCTGTTCTCGACAGCCTCCTTTCCAGTCGCCGGGATTCGAACGTTGCCCCTTAACCCTTTCGCTTAGGTTTCGTGAAACCGGCGCGGCGAGCCGTGCGAATCGGCCGGGCGTCACTCGCGAACATAGAAAATAGATTCGATTGTTTTCAGCAGCTTTACAGTTTCGAAACTACGAAGAGTGATCATTTGATTGCGAATTTTCATCGCCATTTAAAATGGTACAGAAATTGCTCAATAGTAAACATTAAAAATTAAAATTTGGAAACTAGAAATTAAAAATTAAAAATTAAAAATTAGAAATTGAAAATAAAAAATTAAAAACTAAAAATTAAAAATAAAAATTAGAAATTGAAAATTAAAAATTAAAAACTAAAAATAAAAAATAAAAAAAATAAGAATTAAAAATTAAATATAAAAAATAAAAAATTAGAAAATAAAAATTAGAAATTAAAAATTAAAAATTAGAAATTAAAAATTAATATAACTGATTGTAACACAGTCGATCTAAACTAGATACTATGTATGTACATCAGTGGGACTTGATCTCGTTTACAGTAAATAAATAAATTATCAAGATTGCCACTGAAGCAGGTAATCTTTACTTACAGTCGCGTAGGGAAAAGATCAAGTGGGATTATGGCTTTGCAGTTGTCGAAAATGTAGAACGAAGTTTGTGTTACACACATATAAAAGCTATGATATTTCTAATTATTTTTTATTGGAACAATGACGGGATCATTTTGTACAAGAATGAGGGTTGCCCGCAATCTTCAGTAATGAAGCTGTTGCACTTAGGGTTCACTTTAGAAATCCATTTAAGGCTAATTGAAGAGCTAATTTTAAAAGAACGCGATGAGAGAGAGAGAGCACTGTCGTTTAGCCCCTTCCTTTGGCAATCCGTCTTCCTTTCCTACGTTCTTATGAGCGAGACAGTTTTAAAAGGTCCCCGTTAAAGGGACACTCTACGAACGAACCTATTTAAGAGGCATTACGCGTTATAGGTGCTATCATTTGGAAAGATAAAACGGTTCGGTTAAATGCAATGACACAAACTGGTTTATGTTAACCATTATGACCGCACGAGGCGTAAATGCGAGCCTGATAACCAGTTTTCTAGTTATGTAATGCCAGCTGAGTATGCACTTAGGTGCAATCCGCTGTCATGTAATTGTTTGAACAATGCGCATAACCGTGTATACTAATAGCGCGTATCGCTAAACATCTGACAAGCAAATGTGACACGTGACGTACAATAAATTCTGGAGAAATAATTGCGTACGTGCGCGGAGGGACGAAACAACATTTTTATTTAGATGATGGTGTCATGCGTCGAGTATCTTCGCTTCTCGTTATTTCTCTTCTCGATAAGTAATTCCTGGTTCTAATTTCCCTCTAATTACAATTTCTAATTACTTTACGTAAAATATTCAGAGAATTGGCTTCGATTTTATTTTGAAAAGAGAACGTGTACGAAGAATACGTATTGCATACGTATTTAAGCAGCTTTCAATCTCAGGGTATCATTGTTATTATAAATATTTCCTCCGAACAATTTTTATTCTGCTGTGTCATTCACCAAATAATTTCATACATCGTATGAACAACAAATTGAAAATTTGTCTAGCTAATGTAACGATAATGGAACTCTAGGATTATTATCGCAAAATACCAATGAATATACAGATCAATCTTAACAATTTCAAAATAAAGGATCTTATAAAAAATTTAAATAAATACACGTAATATTAATTTCTTTTGATCTGGAATCAAATCCCATTCTTGCAATACCGACGTTTATCGATCAGGCCAAATGCAGACACACGACAGTTATCGATTTTTAATCACTGTGCCTAGCTGTAAAGTAAATTCATTTTTATTGCAACATATTCGAACATATTGAATTTTACCAGGCTGCTTAGACTGCGAAAAAGTTAAAATACCACGCGCTGCGACAAACTTTAACTCTTGTAGTTTCAGTTTCTTTAACTTTAAGCCAATGAATATACCAATTTACCATTTACCAATGAATATACAGATCAATCTTAACAATTTCAAAATAAAGGATCTTATACAAAATTTAAATAAATACACATAATATTAATTTCTTTTAACCTGGAATCAAATCCCATTCTTACAATACCGAGGTTTATCGATCAGGCCACATGCAGACACACGACAGTTATCGACTTTTAATCACTGTGCCTAGCTGTAAATTCATTTCTATCGTGTATTGAATTGCATATTCGAACATATTGAATTTAACCAGGCTGCTCAGACTGCAAAGAAGTTAACACTTAGCCAACCGAATGGGGAGATCTCCCCGTTTTAAATTCAGTCGATTGACGACCGAATGGATGATTAATGAAAAATTAAAGCTGTTTGCTTAATTTGATTAACCCTAGAAAGATAACCATATGACAACGTACGTAAAAGATAACCATACGCTTCAGAGGCGCATGCTTTTCTAAGGCGTCAATTTTATACTAACAATGGATATTTATTTAAGTTAATCTAGTCATTTTAAAGGTTTGGCATTATTGTAAAAATAAAATGCATTTATATTATATTTTCTTATATTTTAAGTAATTTTAAACTTAAATCACTAGACCTCTATGAAAAATTAACAAAAATCAACAGTCTTCGGTTTATGGGAACAAATCCCGTAAAATATCACAAAAAATAGTGTTTTATCCTTACAAACTAGTAGACTATAATATAATCAGTGTAAAAAAAACTATAATATTATAAAAAATTTCTTTAGAGACAGTCATGACAAACGTCTTTCTTGTGTTCACCACAAACTGTCTTTTTGCATTTGGCACAGGTCATCTTTGACATTCTTTTCTTTTTAGACGTGCAAAGACTGCAATAACGCCTTTTTTTGGCTGAGGGTTCTTCTTCATCATCTGTGGAAGCCTGTACAGCAGATTTTGGAAGAATATTTTCAATGTTGCTTCGCACATGCCTTGGCAAAGTGGGTGCTTCCAGTCTTTGCGTCATCCACGGTGCAGTCAGTTGTTTATTTCGCAGGCGCCTCTGCGACGTAGGTTATCTTTCTCGGGTTAAGATTTGCACGAGGTACGAATGCTGAAGAAGTAATTGATGCCATATAAGTTTGCTTAGTAATTTTTGTTCAATAGAATGAAATATCTTAATTTTATGTACATTTTCGAGGTCTCTAGCGCGGTCGTGGAAGTGTTAAGGTACCACGCGCTGCGACAAACTTTAACTCTGTGATTTCAGTTTCATTAATTCAATTATTTATCTTCAATAGGAATTTCCAGGGTTGTGTTTGCCGGCTCGTAACGAAATTGTTCCGAGGAACAATTTCCCCTAGGGTTCACGGAATTATAATAAATTTCTAAACCGTTCAATTAAGCGGCCGAGCAGCTCCGGTGTCGAAGTCGGGGCTCCGGAGTAGTTTAAACGTCGGCGGCAAGGAGACACCGGACGGAGATTTCACGGTGTAAATAATGAGAGAAAGGGAAAGAAGAGTGGAGAAAGGACACCCCGTCGGTTGAAAAAGAAGAGTTCCGAGGATTCGGAGAGGACGGGCCAGGACACACGTCGAGAAGAACGGGCTCCGTGTGCGGCGGTGGCGGGTCGTTTCGGAAAGCGGGATCGTGGAATGCAGGTGCGTTTTGCGTCGCAAGCCGGCCTCTCGCTCTTTCGCCGGCATAATACCTGGCGGCTGATAAGGTCGCCGGTTTACCGAGATAACTATGCAACGTTTGGAGAGGCACTATCGGCTGAAAACGCCGCGATAGGTGTCGTTTCCGAGGTCGCGCCGTCGGCGCACGAATCGGAGACCGCGTTCGGAATTATTCTCTTTCTTTTTTTTTGTGTTCGGCGAGCCGATCGATCGGTTCTCTGTTCGCTAACATATTCCTATTGTACAACGGGAATACTATACCACACCGCGTGGAATGGTCGGCCAGTGTCATTTCTGTGATTAATGGCGGTGATTAGTCGCTGCAGAATTTATTTCCTCGTTTGGCCGGGAATCGAAGGACAAAAGTTTGTGTCTTCGAGTTTTTTCTTTTTCTTTCGGGACGCTGATTTATTATTCTTCTTTCGACGACGAAAGCTCGCATGTTCCTTCGCGAGATTGATGGCTGGAAACATTATTTCCTCGTTCTATAGACGGAGAATCGAAGTATACAAATTACCATCGTTCTTTTCTTTTTTTTTCACTTCCCGATCGTGTGGTTTCTTCTTTCTCGGATCGAATTCGCAGAAACGAGTTTTTCAGTGATTTATTATTTGCTCGTCGACGTCTCGCCGATCTTATACAATACGTGAGATACGTCTAAATAATTGAAGATTGAAGAAAAAGGCGTTTAAATAACACCGATAATAATATTTGGTTTTCGAAAATAATGAAATGCTATTTTCACGAAATTTTGTACTAATGTATATACGAAAAAGATCGAAAAAATTCTATACGAATATAGATATTTCAACCCTTTGCACTCGAGTGGTGACTCCGTGGCACCACTGAAGATTGTTATATTATGTAACGAAATAATTTCTACGTTATCATGTTTCTTTTTATTTAACACTAGATTTACGGAGCACAAAAAAAACAGCTGTTTTATATCAGTTTATGAAAGTAACGATAAGGCATTTATTTTTATTTTTAACAAGTGTTATCGTAACATTTGTCGTAAACAATGTATAAATTGAATAAATAACTCATAAATGTATCTTTACGATGTGAATAAACGTAAATGAAAAAATTAGTGACATTTCGATGGGTTCCGTAAATTTAGTGTTAAAAGACTGCTAAAAGGGTAACTATTTTATAAGTTACAAGACTTATACGCATAAACTGCACTAAGTCATATAAAATAGAAACAGGTCAGAAAAAGCTATCTTGAATTTAGTGTTAAAATGGCTTCGAGTGCAAAGGGTTAACCCTTATTATTAATATATTATATTAATTATTATATTAATATAATATATTAATATAACATATATAAATAATATAATATAATATAATATATTATATTAATATAACATATATAAATAATATAATATAATATATTATATTAATATAACTGTAAATTAAAAATAATTTTTCTGACTTATAGTATTTCCATCTTATATGACAAAGTGCATTTTACAACAGTTACGCTTTCAACAATTTTTTAAATCTAAACTTTGTTAACATAAAAATGATCTTGGAACGTGATATAACAATTTTAGTGGTGCCTCAGAGTCACTCGAGAGTGC